TATATATATATTTATAAAATTGATCTCTCTTGCCGTAATGTCAGTAATTTTATCACTTATAGTTCATAAACTTCTAGCTAAGCTGAAATTTTAACGATTTCAACATATTTGGCAGAGATCTAAAAAAGAATAATAGACATTTTACATGAAAAAGAATGTAAAATATTAATATTTTCAGTTATTTTTTCAAGAATCATAAGAAACATTGATAATCAAAAGCGATTTTTGTCTTCGCTAGAAAGTTGTTATTGCAATTCGTGCTTAGATTTTTTCTTTCTCATTTTCTTTCAATTTCTTTCTTCTTCAATGCCCATTCTCATTCAATGATATAAAATGTTATAAATATGTCATAAAATATTATAATTATTTACTATCAAGAAATTATGATTCACTTATCTCATCTATGTGAATAAAATAAAATTAGAAATAAAACATTCCTTATTTTCATTCTAAACTCTCTAAAAGAGTTTTTCTACTCCTAAATTTCGTAGCGAAACGATGAAAAAGATTTATTTCTACTTTCTTGCGTTTGGTGGCTACATAATTAACAAAAGTATTGTTGTCTGTTCTTATTATTTTTTTTATTTATTTATTTTTTTTTTTTTTGCCCTACTTGCCTAGTAATTAAAAAAAGTCGCACAGCCAAACATGAGCGCTTTTAACTTGTGCCACATATTTCAATAAATTTTCTTTTTATATCTTGAGTTTGCTGATTGTAAATTATTTTGAAAAAATAAAACAAGAAGTCAACATTTTTTATAATTAATAAAAACTTGAAATTATTGCTTTTTGCTGAGCGGGAACTTATCATACAAAGTGTGTCGGTTTAGTCATAGTGTTTTAAGTGTTAAAAGTTGATGCCTGTGAAAGTTGATAAATAAATATGTGCAACTAAATGTATTTAATATTCTTTTAAATTAAGTATTTCATGCGTAAATTAGTAAATTTTTACACATAATTTTCATCAACGAATTCTCAATGCTTTCCTATAATAGATTATTTTAAACTTTAAACTATTGAATTGTAACAGTAAAATTAATATATTTAATTATAATAATATAATATATCGCCATGTCTATCGCAAAGAAAGACTTTTGAGCTGTGCGTATCATTGGCTGTAAAAGCACGAGGCGACGAGAAAACATAAATAGATATTGTTGAGTACAGTAGGCGTATAGAAAAATTTCATTTACCTTTCATTAAACACTTGTAACTTAAATTAAAATTATAGGTAATTAAAATTCCTATTAATTTCTAAAGTCCGATTATGTATCCTCTAAAATATTACTTTTAATAATCGTTAAAATATTTATCATGTAAATTAACTCCACAACTGTGATATTTATTAATCAACATTTCAACTGTGAAATATAAAAATATTTTAACAAGAAATAAGTAATTATTTACTTATTACGCGTTATTTTATTGTATTTTATTTGTGAACGTTTGTGCCAATGTTTAATTACCCATAAATTTTAACAAAAAAATTTTATATGTTAATAAGTAATTTTAATCTACGACAACGAATATATATATATATATATATATATATATATATATATATAAAGTTTATATAGATGTAGAAATATTAATAAAATTTAATTCTTTAATTCTCTAATATGAATTATTACTCTTTTTGTTGTTTTGTTGTAAATTCAATCACAAATATTCAATAATCGCCCATTTAATGGCAGATATTTTTTCAAAGTAACAGTCATAAGTTTATGATGAAATCGCAAATTTAAAATAATCAGTCTAATATTAAAATAATGTTTACGTATATATCTTTCAGAATACGCGGTCTACTATTAAATAAATCTCATCGAAATGCAAAACTAAAGTCTACGTCAATAAATTGAAACATATATACTTATAAGTTTTTACACATAATGATTACGATTATTTCAAATCAATCGTCTACGTTAGATATTTTTAACTCGGTAATATGCAAATTTAAATTTAAAAAACTGTAACACAGAATAATATTTTAATTAAAATATATTAATATCACAAGTCACAACTTATTAATCATAATTTTAATAAATATATTAAAAATAATAGCAAATCTTTCATAATTATATAAAATTTTTAAAATAGTACAAATCGTCTACACTTATATGTCTTACTAAATTATCTACATATAAACATAAATATATGCATGTAAATATTACTTATACATCACAGATAATTGAAAAGACACTTTTTTGCAAAATGAGTTTTTAAATAATTAATAAATAATTGATTAAAAATATAGATAAAATATAATGAATATATGAATTGATAAAGGAACAATTATTTTAAAAATTTTTATAATAAAACTGTCATTAATATTATTAGAAATTAATTACATTAAATTAAATACCTTAAATACCTAATCAGTTTTAGTTGTATTACAAAACATTAAAATTTATTTATAATAAACATGGATCATTAATTGTAAAATGTTAATTTTAATTAAAATATATAGCGTTAATTGAATTAATTTAATATATGTGTACAATTATAGATTTATCTAATATGTTAAACAAATATATAATCTAATATATATATATTTCAACTTATAATATAGGCTTCAATTAAAATTAAAATGTTATTATAATAATAAAAATATTAATTTTCATTCTACATGATCTCGATATTATGAAATGTATTATTTATAAATTCATGATATAACAAAAAAATACAATTGTTGTCAAATTACTTATCTAATTCTAAAACATATAAATACTTCAAATAACCTAAAGAATACTATTAAATTTATTATTCTTAAGCTTTATTAAGGAAAAAAATCTATTATCTCATATAGCATTTTTATTTTCAACATATGTGTAAAGCTAAAAATTTACTTTGTTTTAAATAATTTAGCAATTCCACATCCTCTGAATTCTATTTTTTATTATATTTTAATAGATTCGTCAATTTTGACTATAATATATAGAATTGTCAATATTTAGCATTTTTCACTATTAAAAATGACTAAATTACTTACAAATAGTTTCAAACATAAAATTATTATGATTTGTATGTATCATTACGTTCATTGCTCTCATTGTAAACAATTTTTTAGAACAATTTAATAATTGCCGAAAATATTGTTTTTTCTTTAATTTGAAAATACCTATACAATTCTTGATTAATATATGTAATTGTTATTGATATATTAATAAATAGTTACTCTTACAATACATAATATATTTATATTAAAATTAAAATTATTAAAATATTATTTTACTAATAAAGAATTGGCCGTTTGTAATTTTGAATCCAAACTATAATTACCTACTTTGAAATAATAATTAATCATCATTTACATCAACATTTACAGTTAAATTACCATGATTTATTAAATAATTCATTTTTATTGAAATAATATAACCCATTAAAATTAGATTACATCTTGTCTATAGTTCCTGATTAATATGCCTGAGCACTGAAACTACATATTGCTTAATCAAATATTGTGAAAAATGATTCTCGAATCACTCATAAAATATATAAATTATATAATAATTTTTCTATTCCTCGGCTAAATTTTTATGTGGACAAATTAAATGTAAAAACATAACATAACCCTATAAGATGCAACTGAAACATAAAAAATTCAAACTCGAATTTGAATCATAGAAATATAAAACCAATCATCGATACAAGCATTAAAGTATATAATACATGTATTGTTTGAAATTTATAAGAATTGTAATAATTTTAAGTAAATATTGGTTTATAATAGATTTAAATGAAATTATCAATATAAAATATAAATATTTATTGCATTTCTAAAATGTAATCATTTTCACAATTTCACAATTTTTCAAAATAGTTCATTTACATTGTGTGAAGAATTTTATTTTTATTTCTATTTATACTACAATTCCATAATTTAATTTTGCCAATTAAGTATATAAAAGACATTAAGTTGTTACATTCTATAAGTGTACAGTGTATATACATTTTATAAAAGTTTTTTTTTTTTTTTTTTTTTTTTTTTTTTTTTTAATTTATTCGCTAAGCTAGTTATTTCATAGATATAAATATTTATAAGAATTTAACTTCGTAAAAAGTATTTCTATTATAATAAATGAAAGACTTTGATATTATTTATTGCAACTATTCAATGTAGTTAAAAAGTTAGTTTTAAGCCAATATGAGATGCTCTCTAACTAAAATTATTTATATACTTCATAAATTTATGAGGATATTGTGAAAAATTAATACAAATCTTTTATAAGATTACAAATTATTATTGACAAATTATTTTATAAGATATAATAATAATGATTAATAACAGTTCGTATTCATCGTGGGCTTAGTTAGTTTGTAACAGTAATTACAAAAATTAATAAATTGCTGTTTTATGTAAAAAATAGTCAATTATATAAGAAATTTGTAAACATTTAAAATAATGACATTTAAGAATAATTGCAAAATTAAAATTCTTCTTTTATATATATATATATATATATATATATATAAACGTTATATATTTATTAGTAAAACTTTTTTAATTATCTTTTATTATGTGCTATTTTTTAAATTTCTAAAATTTTCTGTATTTTTTCACAATTACTTATAAGATATATTCGTACGATTAGTATCAAACCAACAATAAAAATAACAAATATAAAATGATTAAAGAATGAATATAACATTTAATCTTAGAAACAATGTTAACAATTTGTAAAAATCTTAATGAATCTAAATAATATATGTTTATATGTAAATTATATACAACTGAATGGATAATAAATTATTAACATATAATAATGATAGCAGTATAATAATTTTTTTTCTTTATTTTATATTTTAAAACCTTTTCTAATGTAATTGTTGTATAGTTACTTATAACGGTGATATCTAGGCTTCATTTTTCCCCCTTGACATATCCTAATTTTCATTACACTCCCATAACTAAAAACTAAAAATTTCTACATTTTTGTTTTTTAAGGCTACCGACGGTCAATACGGTAGGCTGCGACTTTACGTACAAACTTGAATGCAAACTAAAAGTCAACAGTCGCACAAGTCAACCACTTATCCAATGTCTTTCGTAAATAAACATATTCGTTTGATTATTTGGCATTATACGCGAAAGGGCTGCTGCAAATTGTCATTAATATGACAATTCACAATCTGTATATCTTTTCGAGAAATGGCACCCTTTTGTATTATAACGAATGGAATAGGTTAAATAAGTCTGGTATGCTGAAAGAGGAGGTAAGCTTGAAATGATGCATTGCACGGATTAAAATTGAGTTTGTCAATCTAACCTAAAACAATTTTATATATTATTTACCAATAATAATATTCAATTGATTTAGTATTTGCATGTTTTTCACGAATATTAGCAACGTTATCGTTTCACATTTGGTTCTTATATAAATTAATAAATTGCAAAACTTTCATCATTCAATAACGGGGATATTGTACTTGTCATTGCATATTAAATACAATGTTGTAAATCATCTTTCGTCCTTCATGAAAATTAATAATTAACAATTAATGATTAATATGTAAATTGATATTGATAACAGGAAGCCAAATTAATGTATGGAATGTTATTTTCTATCAAGTCCTTTGTTAATAAAATCTCACCTCTCGATCCAAGAGAAGGATTTTTGTATTATAAAACAAGCAAATACACTCTTCATTACTTTGAAACTCCATCGGGATTAAAATTCATATTGAATACGGACAACGTGGCTCAGAATGTACGAGAACTATTACAACGATTATACAGTCAAGTTGGTATTTAATAATGTTTTATTGAATTTGTATGTACAGCTCTTATTTTATGTACATTATTTTTTATTACAGGTGTACCTTGAGTACGTTGTGAAAAATCCGCTTTGTCAACCAAATGAACCAATTCAAAGTGAATTATTTAAAACAAAAATTGATGAGCTCATAAAAAAATCTCCTATATTTTTGAGTAGATCCATATAGAAATAATATATATATTTATATTAGATTAAATAAAATGCATTCTTTAAAAAGACCCTGTATATATAAATAAAAACAGTTTTGTGTCTTAAAAATGGCATACTTATTAAAGAACTTATGTAAATAATTTACAATAGCAACTATTCCATCTCTATTTGTAACATGTATAACTTAAATGTTGTATCTATTTATGATCATCACCTACTATATTCTTTCATTGTTTATGTGATCATAAAGAAGGCGGCAGTTTGCGTTGCTTTCAAATGAATCAAGTGATGTACTCCACAAAGCCTTTACGCAGGCAGCGTACAAGCTTATTTTGTATAATTTTGACATATCGTTGTTTGAATTTTTTAAAACATTTACAAATTTTCACATAAACTAAGTCTAAATCTCGTTAAACCGATATAACAATTAAACAAGCAAATATTTTTTTTCTTTTATTTTAATATATCTGTATGTAAAAGCTGCTGTTCTTTGATGCAAGCTGAGCTTACCGAAGTACAAAAGGCTCGACGATTATTCTTAACATCGAGCATTATAATGAAATTTAAAGCTGATTAATAATATAATTTTTAAAATATAATTTACTATAAACTCAAAAATAAACTTATTTATCCTACGGATATAGTGATATAACTATAATTCGTGAATGAGTTCATTTTTTGTCACAAGTTTACAAACTTTGAAATCACAAGTTATTCTTGTAAAATGCGCTTCTCACATTGATATCGTCTTATTCATGTAATCATGTATAAATATACGTGAGTGTGTGTTTACATATGCATCTATATACACTTATCATGTACAAAATCATGTACATCTCTACATCGTAATTATATCATACCAATTTTCACAGCTCATTTTATTATTTTCTGTTTACCTTATTCTTATTAAAACGTAAATTCACAATTTTTTGCCAACACTTTTTCAGTCTTCATATTGATTTTCGAAAATATTTTAGCAATTTAAATTTTCATCCGACCTTGCTTCGACGGCTAGTTCGACCTGGTGTATACCTATATGTACCGCGTTCATCTGCAATTTAATAGAAAATGGCTCTTCTATCAATGATAAACGTTTATCTCTATCCGCATTGGTTGAAGAATTATGAAAGAAGACGTTTTTTAATGTTGCCACATTAACACGTTCTCTCGTTCTTTCCTGACAAACTACTTCCGAAACATTCCAATAATCGCCATTCGATGATCTAAAAAAAAAAACATTTAATAATACAATTTTTTTAATTTTTAATCGAACACTTAAATATTTACTTTGGTGAGAAAATTTTATAAAATATAATAGAAAATCCTCGTTACTCGGTACACAATCGATATAGCCATGACAAATTGTATAATTGTACAATGAAAATGTAGTTGTAAGCATGTTTTTCAAGCATGTTTGTTGTAAGCATTGTGTCCGATCGATTAATTGACCTTGATTTTTGCTAACAAAAATCATCCGTTTTAACAATCTATGTCAAATCTTTACCAGAAAGTATCCGAATAACTAACTAATCTCATGATTAATTAATGATATTTAACATTCCAATTGCAAATGTTTTTTAAAATTTCCCTATACTTACATTGTATTTATTAAAATTTGCATAAATCAAATTCTTGGTGTACAATTTTCAAAAGAAAGCTGTTATTTTTACAACGTGATCAATGAGAATTATTGAGCTAAACTTTATCGCCATTAGATTACAAAATTTCAATAAACTGTTAAATGTAATCCCAATTTACAATCCTACGTTAGTACATTCAACATTACGATGATTTATTAACATTATTACATCACGAGGACACATATAATAAGCATGTAACGATAAACTGATAATGCAATTAATTCAACTATGAAATAAAAAAAAAGTGTTTTAGATTGGACGACTTTTAGATTGGATTATCGCTATCAAATTATAGTGAAGTAAGCACGCATTTATAGTTAAGAGAGCAGAGCTTTTAAAGTGTTCGGATGAAGGTGCACATAAGAAAGCCCGTGGAATAAAAATAAAAACAAACTGTAATTTGTAAAGCCTAGCGCAAGTTAATGGAAGCCCCCCCATCGGCCAAATCTAGCGATCAATTTTGATTTTCTCACCAGAGAACAAAATCGCATGGATACGATTATCGCGAGAAAAGACGCCGAAGGAACCTCAGTGATCTTTGCGTGTCGGTTGGGACAACCTGCTGCTCCATCTCCTTGTTGGTTCTCTTGCGTCTGGCTAGACTCCTCGCGTTGCCAATAGCTTCCCCATCGGCGTCGATAAAGCTTACGTGATGATCGAATCTGACCCTCTCGCTGCCTCCGTCCTCGGCGCTGGTCGTCGTCCAATTGCTACTCGAATCACTGCTCTGCTGCTTCTCACCAGCTGGCCTACGTCTCGTGCGCTTCGCCAAGTTCCCGGGTGTGATCTCCTCGAGCGAGCTGAGAGAGGCAGCCTGTCCCGAGGCCGAGTCCATTCGTTGTTGCTGCTGTTGCTGCTGTTGCTGCTGTTGCTGCTGGTGCTGGTAAAGCGGCTGAGTCGTTGCGGGCGTCGCGGGTGGCGTCGAGGGCGTCACGGCCTCGTTGGAGGCCTCGAGCTTCATGTTGAGAACGGAGCCGGCAAGTGCTCGGGTCGAGGCCGATCCGTCATCCGGGGCAATCGAGGCATTTACTGATTTTTCCGAGAGACTCGTAGCCGCCGATGCCGTCTCGCTACATAAGCTGTAGCGCTGCGTCGATGTCACGTCCGCTTGAACCTCCAATCTATATTATTTTACAAATATTGATAAACTTAAATTTCGTCATGCATCTTTTCTTTTTTCTTTTTCTTTTTCCAAGAACCTCCGTTTATACGTAAAGTCAACACACGCATACTCGAATCAATATATTTTTGCAGTATTTTCTGGGTTTGTATACACGATTGGGCCTATAGTTTTGCATGTATTTGCACGCGCGGTGTATACATTACATCTATTTTACATTACATCGATTGTTTGTTTTTTTTTTTTTTTTAACACTATTTTATCCATGTATTGGAATTGGCATTTATAACAATGCAATTGTCGAAATAATTCCAAAATCCATTTTACGATTATTTTTCAAGCGTATAATTATAAAATTGAATGTAATTATCCAAAATATATTTACTACTTTAAAATTACACACCTTACATTACAATCAATAATTGAGAGCTTATTTGGTCGGAAAATATTATTGATATTTAAATATTTTTCGGAAGTCGGAATTATTTATAAAGTTGAAAATCAACGTAAATAAAGATTTTAATTATTTCAAATAGTGCACTCTTATATCTCAATTCTTATAAAAAAAAAAAAAAAAAAAAAAAAAAAAAAAAATTGCATGTAAAAACGTATTAAAAATATAAATATGAACGAAAGAGAGATTAAAAGAAATTGTTAACAATAAAGTTAATAGATCATTTTACGATAAAATTATTATATTTCTCAAATAAATATTATTTCTTTTTAATGAAAATAGTAATGTATAAATAAAAAATTTTTTTTTTTATTATGTTATTTAATACCATTCTCGAATGCTCATTCTCATGACGATAAAGTGAATTAACGATGACAGAAATTATTGAATTAAAAATAATTCTTATATCGATTCAGCATTATAAAGCAGTTTAATAACGTTTCAATTCATGTCTTATTAACAATAAGCCTTATTGAATACAATACTGACTAGAATTGATGAACTTTTTTTTTAGTCTTGCAAGTCTAGCAATACATACCAGCGATTCCTCTTACAAGTATCCGACAACAACAAGAGTAAATTAAAAAGTACCCAACGTTCTTTAACTTTTAATTAACTCTTTAATCAACGAGATACAATGATTTGACGTAGCTTTGTTCTCTTATGGCTCTAACTGTAAGTTAAAACTATATAACAAAAAATACAAGACTATTTTTATTTCTATACAGAGAATGACGAAATCCGATTACGATGGTAAATGTGCCGTGTTCCCATCGCGACAACTTTTATTTTTCAACGTCCAAGGGCGTTGTTCGAGCGCCGCTGAAACTAAAAAATAAGTAGTCTTGAAGGGTTTATAAATACTAGAACGAGCAGGCGCCAATTATGCGGCCCTAGATCTCTCCGATCTCTCGGGTACTCTGTAAAATGGACTATATGCCAGCCTCGTGGCGAACGGAAAAGCTATAGGGAGTCGTGAGGCCATCGCGAAAGCTCGAGCTTTACCTTTGGCCTCCGGGAACGACGCTGGAGCCTATACTTCCTGCGATGCTCGTGCCGGCCAGGGCGACATTACTCGCACTCTCCCGGTCATTCTCCCGACCCAACTTTTCCAGCTGGCTGCCACTCCCAAGGGAGAGCGAGGCTTCCCCTATCGATGGATTGCCACCCCGATGACTTGCCACGTCTATGGAAGCTGCGTCTGTGGTCAATGTAATATTCGAAATTTATTTATAATTTATCGGTTAATGGCCCATTCGGTTGTGAGCACACTCAAGTCCGTGCCAATAATCCTATCCCGAATAGCAACGTCCACGTGAGCGCTCGTTAACATCTTAAGATTCATATTATCAGATGAGATATTTTATTTAATGGAATCATCGAATTTTGTTCGAAATATTTTTCGAAATCCGAAAGAATCGAAATATTGTTCGCTCGGCAAATTCGTGGCCGAGCACTCGACACAAAACAGCGATCCTTGCGATTATTGAAATGAAGCAGACATCGATATGCAGAATAATATCGATTGTTTTTCCTATGGAAAATTCGTCTCGCCCGTTTTTTCACCCCGCAACTACGATATTTATGAAAATCAATAAATGACAGCAATCGGTCTAATCACTTCGTGCATAAAGCTCTATTATTTAATAATGTATTATTAGTTTCAAATCGAGTCATGTTTCGCAAATACAATTTACGAATTCGGATACATTTTCAGTTCTCCATTGACCTTGGAGCACTTTTAATGAAACGATCATTACAAGGCGCGTAAATGATAAAGCTTTAAATGAAAACTATATCAAATTTATTTTTAAATAATCCGTGTAATAAATACGGCTTAATATTGTTAAATTAAGTAATCATCGCTGTTTAAACTTTAAAGACTAATAATGATATAAATATCATAAAATATTGATATATTATAAAGCAGTGAAATAATTGCTTAATCTGTTCAAACAAACCATTAGCGATAAAATACATACATGAAAATTAAAGGAAAAGCAATTTTTTATATTTACAATGTATCCGCGCGCGCGCGCAAGTTGAGAAGCGATTAGTCTCCACGCTTTGTGACCCCGAATGTTCCGCGCGGATTTGATAACAAAAAATGGCACGTGTTCGGAGATTCTACCTCCAGTATTCCTGCCGCCGAGGGCGCCCATTAATTCGTTCTCGTCGTCGAATTCGAATCTAACTCCGGATCCGTTGGTTGATACGCCACAACCGCCACTACGACATAGCGAGACCGGTACCACACCGTAAACGTAGAACAATAAAATAGGCACTCCGATACCCACTGCCAGGCCTGCCAACACCGGTGATATCAGAATCTGCAACAGGAATATAAAACAAAACATTGATTCATGGTTTTTTTTTTTTTTTTTTTTTTTTTTTTTTTTTTTTTCCCTAGATATTTACTGAGTGTGTATGGAGATGATGTACGAAGGGCACGAAATTATGGCCGTAAAAGCCGTTTATTTTGCTTATATAAATGAATGGCTCGTCATTCGCTATTGACGACTTTGACTCCCTAATCGACATTTCGATTTATCAAATAACTACTATAATGATCATTATGCATTTATGACTATACAATCATTTACAATCATTTTACATGCCGTTCGTTCGAAATTCTGCCCAACTCTCGTAATTTATTTAATATAGGTAATAATTATATAATGTATCTTGATTTGCATACGGTAGAGTTGTGATTAAAAGAAAATTTTAATTAATATTTATAGTGGCTTTCTACGGGTAATGGCAAATTTTACGGCAGAAGTAAAAAAAGTCCAACGATTAATAATAAATTTGCAACGAAATGCTACTGAAATAATTTAATGTTTGACACTCAAACTTTTAAGAGCATTGTTATTACCGTGCATTAATCAAGCAACACAATAAAAACATTGCGAAAATCATTTTTTAAAGCAAAAATACGATAAATTATAAATACGAATATCTCATTACAAAGTAACTGATAGAAATAAAATGTAAAAATTATGTAAAATCTCCATATTCTACCAATAATACAGCACTCGTATATCGTTGATAAGCCAATTCATAAAAATTTATATTAAATTCATTTATACAAGTTATAATATAAATTGTTATATATACATATAAATCATTCAAATTATTTAACTAATCCAAGTTGATATTCATATATGTATTTGCGCACGAGCTATTTAAGCAGAAAAGACGAAGTTCTTTATACAAAATGTAGATATTTTATATTATCAAAGTAAATGCAGAAATTTTACATAATCGAATACAAACAAATACAAACGAAAAAGTTATTATATATAAATGTATATTATCATTTTTAAACTTGAATTTTGGAAATTTTGATTTTTCTAACATTACATTCAACAATACTACTGTTAAATACAGCAAGAATTGATTCTGATAAATATAGAATGTACGTGTACTCAAACTTCGTTAACTATTTTCCTCCCTATACTCCCGTACTTTCTATATTTACGATTTCCAAAAATATAAATGAACGTTTAATTTATATTTCCAACGATGAATAAAAATGAATTTTTCTTCTTCTATAATAAATAGATTAAATGGTAAATACACTAACTGAGTAAAAGTACAATTAAACAAAAATGAATTTCTCGAAATTCTTGATAATGCATGTATTTGGATTGAAATAGTACATATTTTATAGTCGAAAGTTTTTCTTGTCGATATTTTAAAACGGGAGGCTAATTTTAATTATTATATTTATTACTGGCTCTTAATTATTTTATTAAATTGTTTTTTTTTTTTTTTTTTTTTTTTTTTTTTTAAGAAAATGCTTATGATATCCTTCTGAATGCAAATCCCGAGGAAAAAGTGAAATCACAATTTAACAATTTAACATATTATGCATTTTACAATGGCAGATAAATGTGTGGAAGCTTGAATGAAGCTTGATTGTAATTTATTAAATAAAGATAATGTTTGTTAACGTATTACTTTGATAATTAAAATAGACTTTATTTAAAAGGACAATTAATTGAGAAAACAATTCTTATATGAGAAATAACCTTTGAATGACCTCATGAAGATCTATCATAACAACTCCCTGAGAAATATAACAAATTAAGAGATATACAATAAAATCTGCAGAGATCATATTCATGAAAAACCCCTGTTTCCTTATTATGTCTCGTACAATCATCTAAAAAAAAAAATTAGCAGAATTTCTGCATAGCCCAGCGCCCCCCCCCCAGATCCCCTCTCGCCGCAGTCTCTCTCACTCTCTCTCTCTCTCACTCACTCACTCTCTCTCTCTCTCTCTCTCTCTCTCTCTCTCTCTCTCTCTCTCTCTCTCTCGTTCACTCTTAGACGGAGAGAATATTGATTCTAGTGGATGAACTCAGGCTCCAGAGTGAGATGGAAGGCAAGCAATTTCCAGAGCATGCGCCCGAGTTACCCGAGTGACATATCGTGCGAGTCCAGTCTCGCGGGCAGTTCCGCCCATTAGAACTGCAGGCGCACACGCCGTGCCGTCGGCCGTATCCTCGTTAGCCTCCGCGTAGACGCCGCCTCCGTCGTCACCGAGCTGCTGGAAAAGCGAATGAACGTCCTTTCGGAGGCCTGACGTCAGCAGCCGCCCAAATAAAGCCGAGAGGATATAAGGGAGCGAGCGAAAATGGAGAAAAGAAGCGGTGGGCGAGGCTCCCTCGCGCTGCTTAGCTTGGCCCCAGGGCTTAACGTCCATGGCCAAGGCCAAGAGTCCTAATTAAAGGTGATAATCGAAGCGAATGGATAAGATAAGGACGGCGAGGTGGGCAACCGCCGGCCGCCGCTGACCGAGGCAAGCCAAGCCACATCGAGAAAGTGGACGATGGTCCTGACGATCAGGTTGCAGCCTCCCAGCACTTCGGGGCAACGTCCGCCAAGTTGAGTTGGCAATCAAAAAGTCTGGCAAGGCAAAGACCTTCCGGACAATCAGTCGCCGCCGCTCCTTTTGCTCTCATTGCTCCTTTCGATCATTAATTATCACAAGGGGGAAGAACCGCCATCGTTATCGGTAATTAGATTAATTATAATATTTAGAAAGAAACTTATTATTTCACCCGAAGAAAGAAGCTTACTTTACATTTGAATTTTAAGTAGTCGTGCAGGTTTCGTTCGAGTTTTCGAGTTCTACGATGTGGATTCGTAGGCACAATGGTATTTTTACGTTTAGCTTGCACTTTATTGGGAGACACGATGACAATTGACAGCTCGTTAAAGCAATGCTATTACCATTAACGTATGAATTATTTTACATGTGGCTGAATGATGAACTAATATTACGTTTAAAAGATGAAAAATTTCCGCTACGAGCCAAGGAATATACATTTTTTTTTTCTTTTCTAATCAATATCCTTAGACCCTTACGTGCCAACTTCATTCTACTTATTTAATCGTTATTTATCTCGTACATTGTCGACTCGTTCAATCCATTCGTAAGTTGGTGCACGCTTTTGGAAATTCAAGCATTCGGCGAGCTCCGTAATATTGCCAAACGCACTTTTAAGATCCGGTGTCTCAAAATAAAGCATCCAATAAAAAAAAGAAGAAGGAAAAAAAGAAAAGAGAACCCAATACAATTAATGCATAAGTAAAATGGAATAAGTCGGTGGTGGAAAGGCTTTCCTTCTAAGTATTCTACTTTCGCGCCCGCATAAACGCGTAGAAATATTTTTAAGAACCGTCTCCTCGTGTCGTAAGCGAAAAAGAGGGAAGAGAGGAGAATAGCCGAGATGTCCGACAGCGAGGACACGGAGGGCTCCTGCGCCGATTGGAACATAACGAAGGAATGGCTCGAGAGTATGCTCCAGGAGCACCATGGCAAGGACTCCGAGCCCGCGGTGAGCGACTTCACGGTGCGGCCAGGATGCAATGCCGGCGAGAGCGTCCTCAGTGACATTCTCGCGGTCAACGTGGAGTACCGGCCAATGCCGGAGCAGCCGGACACCAATCTCAGCCTCATCGTCAAACGTTTGCCCCAGGATCCCTATAGCCGGTTCTTCGTCACCGAAGCCCAATTTGACTTAAGGGAGATCAGGTTTTACACGCAGGTACACTATTCCTCCCGTTCTAACCCCCCCCCCCCCCCCCCCCCCCCCCCCCCCCCCCCCCCCCACACCCCCCCCCCCCCCCCCCCCCCCCCCCCCCCCCCCCCCCCCCCCGTCTCTCTCTCTCTCTCTACTCTCTACTCTCTCCCCGCTGTCCCCAATGCTCTCGTTATTCTATGACAGGCTTGTTCCGGATAAAGTAATTTTTATTTTTACTTTAATTGTACATTTATCGAATGAACAGCCGTTGCTTTAATAGAATGAAATTTTAATTGTAAAATGAATCCGTAGATTATTAGCACGAAGGATGATTTTTATTCTGTGTTCGAAAAATCAAACACTAAAACACATAAAATTAATTCAATGTTATTATTGATTAGAAATTGAGCGTCTATATAATTGTAATAATACATTGAATTATTAATTAATCAAAAATACAAAATGAATATTTATTAAATGAAAATTAACAACTCCATCTAACCAATCAACTTATTAATATATAATTTATGAAATTCAATGTGCAATAATAAGAATTAAAATAATTAGATGTCGGAACAATAATCTCAATAATAGATAATAAATAATAAACAAATATCAGAATAAATAGATAAACACGCGTTGAGGATAGAAGATTGAAAATTTGGTATTGCGAGTATTAAATTCCAAAATATTCTCTATATACAGAGTTTTGAACTTTACGTAAGCCTCCCCCCCCCCCCAAAAAAAAAAAAA